CGGACTTCCTGAAGCGGGAATCGGACCCATGTCTTCATCGTACTACAACAAAGAGCCTAACCACTACACCACAGATGCTGGTGGATTTCTCTGTAACTGATACAATAAACTGATGGAGTTTTCTATTATAATGTTTTTGTTTTTCAATCTCCAGTTTGGTCACAGTCATAACACAATTGCCAAAGTCATTTTCTGTTGTTTTGAAAAAAAAAAACATTTAAAAGCTAAAAAAAACAAGTACTTACTTAAGTCAACGTTATCACAAGTGAAAATGTCACAACAATCAGATTTTAGTGCACACAATAAATGCTTACTACATGAAGATGGTAAACAAGCAACAGACATTTTTAACCAAATGAATATCTAGAAGCCCCCCCCAAAAATGACTGAAACAATTGTGTTATGACTGAGACAACGAGTTGTGGTTAAAGATTTTTGCGTGGTTACAGACGGAGGATGACCAGATGATTGACTCCAAGCGGAAGTACATCGCCACTCAAGGTCCGCTGACCAGCACCATGTTGGACTTCTACCGCATGATCTGGCAGGAGGGGTCAAGGGTCATCGTTAATCTGGCTCGGATCACAGAAAGAGGAAAGGTAAAACGTAGGGCGCTTGGTACTGTTGGAAGGCAACTTTATTTACATTCTTAGGGCAATGTACTCCTGTATATAAATGTGTCCCAGAGGTCTAGAGTAACAATGTGCGCCTCTCATTCAAAAGGTCTCTGGATTAAAACCTGACAGTGACAATCGAATTTTAGTCTTTAAAATGTTCTACTTTCACCTGTGGGGAGGCAACTCTACTTTTTTTAATTTTTAGAGAAAAGTGTTCCTGGAAATTAATGCATCATAAACCCTGATGGAACCTACTACTTTTTTTTTCTTTTTCTTTCTTTCTCGTGCTACAGATTCAGATCAACATCTACTGGCCGGTGGCCGAGGAGAAAAACGAGAAGCTGTTTGTGTTTGAGAGTCCGCCTGACGCTTACGGCAAGCGGGATTTCATCTGCCAGTATCGCGTGAAGCTGCTGAACGAGGCCGGGGACCAGACCTACATCCGCAGAGAGATGCTGCTCAGCAAGGAGGACAGGGATGGGAAGGTGGGTCGTGTTGCCTTCGGTTGGTGTGTGTGTGTGCACATGCGTGCGTGCGTGCGTGCGTGCATGTGAGCGAGCGTGCGTGCGTGTGAGTGAGTGACTGTTGTGGTTGCTGATGTCTGGTTTTTTTCCTTGTTTTTTTTGGGTTTAGCCTCACTCCTGCAGTTTTGTCTTTTTTTTATCATTGGCGTTGTCATTGTCCCTTTCTGTGTATTCATCAACCTCATCGTCTTCTTCATCATCATCATCATCATCATTGTTGTCGTCGTTGTCATCATCATCATCTTCTTCTGTGTCGTCCGTTTTCACATCAGATCACTATTCAAAAGCTCTTTCACTGGTCTGTCCATTCATCCATGTATCTCCCCCCCCCCGATGAAACAGATGATGGAAGAGCCCCGCCAGCTGTTCCAGTTCCACTACACCAGCTGGCCCGACTACAACGTACCGGATGACCCCGGCTCTATGATTGACCTCCTGGAGAGGATCAACAACCAGCTGGACTCTCTGCCTAGCCCAGGCCCGATGGTGGTTCACTGCAGGTTTGTCCACTGCTTCATGCGATCAGAGTCTTTATGATAATAATAACAACAGTATTAAGAATCATATTTGAGGACTCCACGGGAAAAACAAAAATAGTCACAAACTGAAAATCGCAAAGATATCAATTTTGAACGTTTATTAACTCATTACAGTATTTCTGTTCAACTGTTGGTTAATTATCGTTGTTAGATTTCCCATTCAACAACCATAACAATAAACCACCAGTCAAGCAAATATGAAGTTATGAGCCCACAAGCTTTTTAGATTGACGCCCTCATAATTTCCAGTTTGTGGCTAGGCTTGTTTTTTTTCGTGTGGACTCCTTTTGTAATGACAGTAATGATATAAACAGTAATAAATGAAGAAGAAAAAAAAATGATTGCCAAAATGGCTTGATCACAGTGAGGAAAAATGGTCTGGTTGGAAATTTCCCTGCATTGTTTTGATAAAAGACACAGTTGAGTTTATAAAAGAAAAAGTAAGAGAAATTAAATTCTGTCTGATTATGGTCCGAAAGGAAAGAGATGGTGGCCAAAACGACTTGGTAACAGAGAGGAAAATGTTCTGCAGGGTAAGAGTTTGTCTCCTTATGTGCACGTTGCGTCTGGTCCTTGTCGCTCTAAAGTCAATCAAGTAAGATTATAAAGAAACTGTCTCCTTTTACGTCGCGTGCGGATTGTCGCGTCTGATCGGTCCATGTAGCGATCGAGAGTCTCGTTGCGTCAGACAGACTGAGGGTGTGGAAGGTTTAGAGCATTACCATTGGGCAAAATACCTAGCCAAGGCGTGCCCGCGGTCGACATGACGTGTGTCTGTGTTTGTGTGTGTCGGTGAAGGCAAGGTTCGAGGCTATGTGCAAAAAATAATTTGCTACTGTATCTCTGTTGTGAACTGCCAGTCGCGAACGGGATTTACCAGTCGCGTGCGACGTAACGTTGCGTTGCACATAAGGAGACACATTTGTCGCTTCTGTCGTACGCGACTGAAAATTTGGGCGCGACTTAGTCGCGCATAAGGATACACACCTTGCAACTGGTCGCCCGCGACGTTACGTCACATTGCGCATAAGGATACAAAGTCTAAGAGTTAATGGGACACTTGTTTTGTTTCAGTGCGGGCATCGGCCGGACAGGCACCCTCATTGTCACCGATATGATCATCAATCAGATAAAGGCCTATGGTAAGTCAGCCCTTCACTCTCTGTACCTGTGGGTGGTTGGAGGGTGCCACTGGCAGGTTCTAGTTTACTATACTGTCACTGTTTTGTTTCTGTCTGTCTGTATGTCTTTTCTTCTTTTTTCTCCTCAATTTTATAGAGCATCTCTGTCCTTCTGGGATGCTGTATCCCTCTGCACGTGGGGTGCATGACAGGCAGGATGGAAGGAGCCAGCCTCCTGAATGATCTAAATTGAGTAGATGGGTTGGTAAAATATCTTTAATAAAGAAATAAACATCCAAAAGTGCGCCAGAGCCGAAGTTGGCTGTCAAAATTTACTTCCACGTCCTCAAGAGCTATGGGATGGG